CCAATGCAAAACAAAGGCAACGGTGTGGGTCCCCAGTTCTCTGTTGGTGCACAACTGTCCCTCAGCTCAATGCCTCCGTTTCACACGGTTCTTGAGCTCGGTGTGCTGCAACCACACGTGGCTCTCAAGCATCTGATGCAATGGCCAGAGACCAAACATCCTGTTCGGTCTCCAGGGAGGGACAATTAACCTTGGTTAATGTGAGAGCATAACAATTCATCTGGTTGGCTGCACACATTGTCACAAAACACCACTGGGTAATTGTACCGGTGCGCTCAACACTTTTCAACGCTTCCCAATGATTTCCCAGTGAACCCGCTTCCAACCTATACTAGCTCCCAGTCATACTATGAAACTAGCAGCCATACAGGGCCCCATCTGCTCTTAGCACTGGGTTACACATCCACTACCATTATGGGAATATCAGGAGATTCTAGTTCTCCAGTCTAGTCCCATTAAACATTGCAGGGGAAGAGACTGCAGACACTGAGATGACACAATGAGTGATAAACAAAATGATGTGGAAACATGATGCAAGTATGCCATTTATTTTTACCTAACTCATGTTTTAATTTGAGGAGTGTTACGCTCTCCTCTTGGTTCCACACCCATCTGATGTCTTCATCTCTGTTCAAGTTATGTATGTCACAATCCATTGCACTGTTATGGAAAGATTCAAAATGTGCTTAAAAACAGGTGGATGGAAAGACACTGAATGTCTCATGACTCCTACTGTTGTTTACCCTCCAGTCCTCGCTGTATTTTTTAAAATATGCAGGGAGGAAATGTTCTAGCAGAATTTGCAAGTCTTTAAAAGAAAGAAAAGACCGAACGGGTATAAGCAGAGAGAGAGATACATTAGCTGTGTCACTCTGCTGTCGTTGCTGCCCTCCGCCCTGCTGCCTGTCAGCACTCTGAGTGAGGAGGGACACTTCTGTCTGACACATGGGGATCAGGTGGGGGGAAAGACATCAGGAGAAATAACGAAACAGAGTGACAGAGAAACAGGAAGTGACACACAGGGCCAGATATGTTATTCAGCCTCTCATCACCTGCACATCCTGTGGGAAACCTCTTGTTTGAGGGTTAACGGGTTGGACACTGAAGGGCTGTCACTCTGTAGAATGAAGTGTAACAATGTGCTGTCAGCTTCCGGCTGCTACTGACTGCTGCAGGAGCTCAGCTCTCCCTCAGAAATTCAGTCATCTGTTAATGCTTTAATCGGCAACAATAAGCCATTAGTAAAGTCAGCCTTCAGGTTTTCATTCAGCCAGTGTACGTCCTCCTCCAGCATGACGGTGTTTTTATCTAGCTCTGTCACTCAGGTAGAAATCCTCCAGTGGTCCAAATAAAACCTTTTTATGGTTTGATGTTTGAACACTTAATGACTGTCAAATAAAACCTTTTTATGGTTTGATGTTTAAACACTTAATAACTGTTGTTTTTGTTAATCAGTATGTTTAGATTCAGGTGTGTTTAAGCTCTTTTCCAAAAGGTAAGTAGTAGAATTAGTCCACTGAGACTAACATGGGCTACAGCCAGGTTACAGGTTTATTAGATTACTATTAAACTGAGTTTGAGATGTTAATTTACAGTAGATTAGAAGATTATATCACTAGTTGGAGACCCAGTGTAATAACACAGCAGGCTGTACTCGGATCTTTTATTGAAAAATTGGTTACAGTTGTTATTGCGTGTCTATAATGTTGGCAGTATTTTCCGGTTACCCTGAGTCATCCTAATCAATGCTGATACCGTATGCTAATAGATAATGGAGTGATGATAATGGAGTATATGCTTTGACTTCCTTGGATATAGAAATGCAGTGGAACAGAGCAGGTGATAGGATGCGCATTACAACCATGACTTGGACTTGCAAAAAATGACTTGTGAGTATCTCTGGCTCTTACTAACAGCTTAGAAATCATACTACATATGAGCACAATAAGAACAACATGTGGATTTATTGTTTTGCACTGTGCTTTTCAAGTAATTGACACGACAGTCCTCATGAAATGAGTTCCTCTCTTCTTTCCTTTCCCTCCTGGCGACCTGACTCCTGATACAGTGTGACATACAGTATCAGGAGTGACGCAGTGTTCAGACTGACCTGTTGATCCTCACGTAGTCTTGACACAAGCCAGGGACATTCCACTAGTTATCCTGGCACTCTCACTGCTAAGTATGCATACTTATTTATATGCTTGGGAATAACCCAGATTTCTTTCTTTCTCCATGTTGGCCACTATCAGGTTTTCTTCTTTTTTTTTACTCCTGAGAACATGTGGCATCAATTGTTTTTTGGCTACATTCTCCCACGTTAATCCTTCTTCGGGTGAGAAGGAGAGAAAGAAAGATGGGAGTGTCAGCGAGGAAGCACATGGCAGCTGAGGGTCATTAATCACAGTCATGACAGAGAGAGAGGGAGATGGAGGATTAAAGACATGAGAGATGGAGCGCAGCAGACATGGCAGGAATCTCTCCCCAGAGATGAGATGAATCAACCCCTTTCAGCGGCCTTCGCTTTGTTGTTGATATGAGGCTGTGACATCACATCCTGAAGGGCTCTGAGTCAGTGAAGCAGCAACGTCCTGGTCAAAAGCGAGGGGAAGTGAATGCATCATAAGACAAGCAAGCAAACACGCAAGACTCCTTTTTTGCAGTCAAAAATAATGATGTTGCACTTTGTAAATGTAAGACAGGTGTTCATGTTTTTAAGCTGGATAAGAAGGTGACTAGAAGGAAAGCCAATGCGAGCTGTTCAAAGTCTCTGGCGAATTTGGTAAAATCAAAGACTGACCCTGAAAACACAAGATACACAAGTTGATGTTTTTAGATTCCAGAGTATATGATATAGTCTGTTATCTTCTCCAACAGGCTAACATCTCCTACACTTTCATCTTTCTCACCAAATACACTGAAAGAAACAATATTTAGCAGTTTTTTCACGACATAAACATTATGTTATTATTTGTAGCCAGCTGCAGGGAGGTGTACTGAACTACACAAGATGTCTTATAGCAGGAGCACTTTATTAGTTTCATATATTTTCATGAAACAAAGTCTGTGCTGAGTCAGTTCTGTGTGTGTGCACGCAAGCATTTTTACTTGTTCACTTTTGGTTTCAGATTTTTTTGTTCTTAAAGGAGAGCACAAGACCTATGACTTACAGTGTAGGTACAGCGTGTATGCAGTAACAGAAAAACCCCATTTAATTTCATTTTTCAGCTTTTATTGGAAAAAAGGTTCAGAAAATGTGTGTGTGTGTGTGTGTAACTCCTTTCTCTTGCCCACATTTCCAGGACTCTGGGCTGCTCCACTGCGGTCGACTCCTCAATATAAACCAGATACTTGAAATCACGATACTTTATTATTCTGGCCAACTTGCAAATGTGTAACATCCCTTTGCTCCAAAAGTGAAACAGATTGCATGTTCTGTATATATTTTTCTTGCCTCGGGCTGAGATGTCGGGGTGGAAAAAAAAAGTCACAGTATGATGAATGCGTTCTGGCCAGAGGAGAGTGGGTGGTCTGTATCTGTCAGCGCTGCTATTACAGCAGACAGTGCAGTTACAGGCCAATAAGCTGCACTATCATCACCATCATCCACAGCAGATCTCTTTACAACAGCTCTCAGCTGTCCACGTCACAACCCTGACAGCACAAACATGTACTTACCCAGAGAGCTCTGCACTCGAATGTCTTGCATCAGAAAATATTTGGTTGTTTCACTGCATGTTCTTAAAGGGGCGGTTCACCCAAATGACAAAAGTAGTATTTGCTTAATTGTTCAAGAAAATGTCAGAAAATAATGAAAAATACTTTTGTCCAACCAACAGTCCGGGGGCCCAGCAGTGACATTTGGGAGCCTGCAAGCAATCAAAGTTATGGCATTTCTGCTTAAAATAATCACTTCTCAAATTTGTTGCGGATTAATTTTTTTGTGTCAACTTATCAAATAATTGATTCATTGTTTCAGCTCTGTTTAATAGGCAAATGAGAGATTGTTCTTTAACCGGCAGCTACCTTCCACTCTGGAGGTACATGAGGTGCATAAGCAGCTAGCCTAGCATTAGCCTAGCATTAGCCTAGCATTAGTTGCATTGTCTGCACGCAGGGACACTTCCACCAGCTTTGGTTCTGCCCCAAATTAAAAACTTTCTGGATGCTCATATTTGATTACTAACAAAAGCATTAAAAAGAAACAATGTCCCAGATTTCTTGGCAGCCATATTTGGCATAATCTATTTCTTACTGCACCCTTTTAGCCAAAACTGAGCAGATACACTCTCTTGTGTCCATGTACTGCAAGTTTGTGTGGATACAGCACAGATGGACTCTAGGTTTATCCCATCTTTTCATCTGCTGGGCCATTCAGTGACTTTTGTTGTTCTTTTTTGATGGCCTGTTTTGCATCAAAAACAAAATTATAAAAAAAAAAAAACATGTACCAGATATCAGCCCTATCTCTAATAAAAAATGGTGGAGTAATGTCGTGTTGCTAGAATTAGTTCAATATATTTATCAAATTTGAAACTTAAATCTCTCAAATATAGTTCCAGAAGGGAATTGCTAACACACCAGTATTGCAATACAGCTAATAAGCTCTGTTGCAGCCTTTTCCATCAAGATGGCTTGCTATTAGCTTGTATTAGCATATTCAACCGCATGAATTTGTGTTTCTAAAGTCTCCAAAATGAAAGACAGTGTGACATATTCTTGTAGATTTACTTTACTCCTACAAGTAAATCTACTAGGTGCTGTGATTCATTTGAAATTAGTTTATTTTGCCGCAGCATTTTGTAATTTTAAAGCGGCTATAAACAGTATTTTAATAATAGCAGTGTATCTGATAACTGCGTTTTCACTGGAACAACTTTCTACCAAAGAATCCCACTGAAAACTCTTTAAAGCCTGTGTTCTGTGCAGTAGCAGGGACACTGGGTCTCGATGGAATATCTCAACAACCTGTGCACTGACATTCATGTGTTGTTTTCCAGGAAACATTCTGTTTTTATGGAAGAACCACTGGCTGGGAAACTCAAAACAGGAGAAATAAAGGTAACAATCCTCCTGCTCTTTCACAGCATCTTCCCTCTGTTACTTCTTGTTTTCTTGGAGCTGTGACGCTCATTCGCTGGAATTTTTATGAGATTTACTGGAGCAAAACGACACCAGGCGTTGTAATTACTGAGCTAAACAGTAGAGAGCTGCTATCAAAACAGTGAGACATTGGTTTGTAGCGCTGATTCATGGCTGTGAAAACATGACACACACCCACACCCATACACTTATAGAGGGCAAATGCAGGCAGCACTTTGTTATTTGTGAGATTGGGCAGGAGAATAATGAGGTTACCTATGAGCCAATTCCACTGTGTTACATTAATGAGGTTGCTGTCTGCCACTGTAGCCAGCTACAAGGACACACTCATTGTAGATCACCTAGCATTATCTGTCCTCTGTCACTTTCCCTGGCATCCACAGAGAGCTGCAGAGAGAGTGTAGCCGAGCGTGGAGGTAGACTGTGCCACTGCTTTATTTCTCTCTGCAGCTCATGTTAGATGCTCTGACAACACAGCATTGATTTATAGCTCCTGCAGACAGACACGGCCAGCAGACGAGCGCAGTGCATGCTTTGCACTCACGTGATTGATTATCCTGTCTGCCTCGTATGTGACATTTTTGAAATGTAATCTCTCTAAACAGCATGAAAGGTGTGAGACCCCAGAGAAAACAACCCCCCATGTGTATCCTTGCCTGTATTGTATTAGCATACTTTTGCTCAGGATTGCCAGGAAATTGAATTCCCTCTCCTTTTGCAAAGTCGTCCCCGGGATTAAACCATCACTGTGCGATTTACTGTAACCTCACTATAAACTGCGTCATCTGTCTATTCAGAGCTGATTGATGTGCCAGCAGGTGTTCTGTGTCGCCTCATTGTCATGTCATCATGTGGTACGATTCATTTCGCTTACGAAATGATGGCAACGGTGCTGAATACAGTGGAGGATGTTTGCTTGGCTGTAGATTAGAGAGAGACACTTTAAAGTGTGTAGGATCACAAAGTGCAGAAACTCAGGACAGAAATAAGTGCAGGTAAACAGAAAATAAGCAAATAAATTCCTATAAAGGATTTTAAATTAAAATAAGAATAGCATACAGCACTTTTGATGATGATGATGATGATGTTAAACTAATAGTGCAGTACTGTCTCAAGTGAATTATTTAGCAAAGTCAGCAATGTATGTAAAAGAAAATGATACCATTACGATGCACCAGAACAGCCTGTTCCCATCCTAGGGCTTCAAATACACTTTCTCAAGTACCTCAAGTACCCTGTGAGATGCACAAAGTCTTCAATAGAGAACAGTGTTAACCCACTATTGATGCCCAGAGCAGCTGGTCCAGTCATGCATTTACAGTGATGCAGTATATGAATGGAGTGATGAACGCTGTCGACTCACAGCACAAAGGTTCAGGGTTCAAGCCCCGGCTGACTCGGGGCCTTGCTCTGTAGAGTCTACATGCTCTCTCTGTGCCTGCGTGGGTTCTCTCCGGGTGCTTTGGCTTCCTCCCACAGTCCAAAGACATGCAGCTTAGGTTGACTGGCGACTGTAAATTGCCCGTGGGAGTGTGTGTGGGTGTGTGTGGTTGTTTGTCTACATGTCAGCATTGTGATAGACTGGTGACCTCCATCAGTATTTGATGCCTGGAAGTGAGAACATGTTGGAAATTATATAATATAATACCAGTTTGAATGAACATCTTTTTGTATTAATCTAGAAATATAATACTAATATAGTATAAATGCTACTGGGTATATTACAACAATATGTTATATAAAGTGTATTAATTTATAAACCAGTATAAAAGCTTCACTGCCTCATTTAAAGGACAGTTAATTATTTGCCAACTCTCCAAAACAGTGATTTTTCCAATCATAGCTTAGCAACCATAACCAGGCACAAAAGGCCTGTCAAGCTTTTGGTTTCCTAAGACACTGAAGGCTGGTGTAATGTCAGGTTCATATTACAGCAGTAAAAAAAGGCTTTTTATTAAATTCTGCTACCTTGGCTGCAGTACTAATGCTTCCATGATTTCCTGTTGGATGTTACTTCTGACTTACTAAACTGTTGATGGTGATTGCTAAAACTACCAGAATAACACCGTCCTTTGAAGCTTCCGCACTGACGCGATCCCCAGCAGCGACAACTCTGGCACCGCTCCTCATTTTTCTCCCTGTGTTTATGTGTGTGTCTGCCTCTGTGTAGCTGATGATAAATGAGGGCTGCAGACTCTGAGAGAGCTCACAGAGGAAAGAATAATGGGTATTTAAGCACACTTGTAAATTACCAACACATTTGTCTTAGACTGTCCCCGTAGGGATGTGTGACAGCACAGCACACAAAGTATATAAAGCTCACATACATCTGTTCCACATACCCTTACTGGATCCACTGACATCACTTAAATACAAACTGTCACGCCATGTACTATAATTCATACTTTGACAAAGCGCATAAAGCAGTCTTTGCTGTTTTTGCACCTGCATGTGCGTGTCTGTTGGACAAGGCCTGTCTCAGCAGGTGTGTGCTGGGTCACACAGAGTGCACGGCATGCTTTCCTCTAAGTACTGCAGACAAGCATGCTGGACCGCCCGGTGAGAAAATGGGACTTACAGCTATCTGTTCCCCTGCAGCATGCTGAGCTGCGATTCTGCAGTTATGTGCTTCGATGAGCTGCCCACATGCTATCTGCCGCTTTGCTGTGCAAAGGTGTTCGGCCTTTGGGATGATGATGGTGAAACGTTTGGCATGTTTAGTGTAGGTTGTTCAACATGTAGTGACAGCAAGAGATGGGCGAGATTAGTGAGAATAAACTTAATTATTATTAATTACTGATTGAAATGTGAATCAGAAAACAACAGCTCAGTTCTGAACTTGATGACTTTGCTTTGACTTTTTGTTGGACAGCATCCTGCTAAATACAGAGTTGTTTTGAGTTGCCTGCCAAAGTTGGGATCATAACACAGTTTTGTGTTTCTCCAGCCGCAACCTGCTGAAAGGCTTCCAGAGAAAAGCCAGAGCGCTCCAATTCATCATCCTCATTCATAAACAGTCATTAATGTTTATGACAGGTGTCGTGACATGTTTACGACAGCATTATGTCTGCTTTACGAGGCCACTGTCAAGTCAGCTTTTACGACCGCGGCGCTTGGAGGCAGCGAGGGGACCGCTGGCAACACGTCAGAGAGGTTCTGGGATGTTTAATCAGTTACACGAACACACTCACAAATAAAAAGCGAGAGCAGCGTTTGGCAGGGAAGTCGGTCTGTTTGACAGGGATAGTCATCAAACGTTCTCATTAAACTCTCTGGATCCAGGCTCCCCTGTTCTTGAGGGCTTTTATAGGAAAATCACTATTCTCAATTTGCTAGCTGTTGTAAAAGTTGTGTTCCAGGTAGTGGTTGTGGATTCTGGTGGGGGTTAAGCAACACCACAGCATCCCCCACCCTCCTGCTTTATGGCGTGCTGTAAAACTGTTGGCAGGTCGACAGCAGCAGTATCTTTTTACTCAGCTACTAATTTAAGGATGGAGATTAAGGTTGTGAATTGCATTCATGGCATTGGCCTTTTGTGTTTGTTGATACTGATGGATGGTTTGGTTTGACGCATGTACAGCAAACGGCACCGTTGTTCTTCTTGTGCTGTTGTGTGCTTGCTGTGTTTTTTCAAGTAGGCCTAACACGCTATCTGAGGATGAATAGCCATGCATCACTGACTTAATTCAGATGAATTGTATGTATATGACACTCCTTTAAAAGGTTTTATAAGGTTTTGATAATGACATTATTTTATTCTGAATAAATCAGTTACTAAAACTTTATAAACCATCAATAGGAACTTTTTCTGCCAGATTGTGGAAAATCCCTCTGATTCACTACCTAAAACTGTTTTACTAATAACTTAATAAACCTTTACTGATGGGTTTCCTACATTTATAATGGCATAAGAGGTTTAAAATGGTTATTTTTACAACTTGGAAACCCAGAATGTGTTCATGCTGACTGATCTATTAATTGGCTGTTTCTTAATGACTAGTTATAACTCATCAACCCTTTATAAGCGAAACTTACAAAGGGTTTTTATGCAGTTTGTCATCTACAATTGTATGAAGAGAAACACTCCATGATATTACAGAAAGATGGCAGCACTGGTCATTTGTTCAAACACTAGAAATGACTCATGTTTACCTTTTATTTTCCTGACCAGTCATCTGTGTTTGAAGCAAAGGCAGAAGCAGCATATTGTTTGACAACTGAGACTGAAGGATGCATTATCACCAGACTGTGCAATTAATCCTACAAAGCCCAGGGCTGCATCAAATGCTGACATCAAACTTTCGATTTCTGTAATATCCAAACATGGCAGATGCTGAATGGTTACACCAAACCTGTCAGGTGCAGCACACACAGAGCAACATTTATTTGGAGCTGTGTTTTCTGGCCACCTGATGAATCAAAATCTAATGTTCACTCTCTTTTTAACAATCTTTCTCTACCAACGCCTGAAGGAAATATCTAACTTTTTTTTTTTTTTGCTGAAAACTGCTAGCTCTGTGTCTGCAAACAAGGTCAATGGGAAGAATGAGACTAGTAAAGTAAAAAGTAAAGTTGTAGACCACTAAAATGCCCTGTAGAGCCTCATAAAGGTGCAGAGTCAGTTACTGTTTTACATGCAAGCAGTCATATTGATCCATTGTCAATATTAAAGTATATCCATCAAGGCAGTAGATCAGACAGCCCCCACATTAAGTGTCTCTGTGTTGGCATCATGAGTCATCTCACTGGTTAGTTCACCAGGTCAGACAAAGCTGTACTTTCATAAGGTGATGAAAATGACCTTATAAGTATGAGTTCTTGTTGAAGCAGCCACGTAGCACTTCATCCAACCGAGTCGTCATCTTGCTCTAGTTTTAAATATTTGACAATGTTTAAATCTTTGTCCAAAAGCTGCATCAGTTGAATGGTTCACCTCTTTATTTCCTCTTTATTCCTTT